CACACCCCCCCCAAAAAAACCAACACCCCCCCCAGCTCCCACCACTCCAACAGAATCTACAACAACCACAGCTACCACCACCTCTTCAAGTGAAACCACAGCTGCCACTGCTTCAACAGAATCTACAACCACCACAGCTACCACCACCACTTCAAGTGAAACCACAGCTGCCACTGCTTCAACAGAATCTACAACCACCACAGCTACCACCACTCCAACAGAATCTACAACCACCACAGCTACCACCACCACTTCAAGTGAAACCACAGCTGCCACCACTCCAACAGAATCTACAACCCCCACAGCTACCACCACCACTTCAAGTGAAACCACAGCTGCCACCACTTTAGCAGAATCTACAACCACCACGGCTATCACCACTCCAACAGAATCTACAACCACTATAGCTACCACCACTTCAAGTGAAACCACAGCTGCCACCAGTTCAAGTTAAACCACACTTTCACTTTAGTAACATTAAATCCTACTGCATTTTAAATTTAACTGATAGCCAAAACGATCACCAGTTTCATCTTCTCATTAACCAAACCCAAAACTATGTTCCCTTTACTTGAATCTACAACCACTATGTCTTCTATTTAATCTACAACTACTGTAATTTCTACTTACCCTGCAATAACAACGCCAATCACTCTCCTTCAAAAATACATAATGTTCAACTATATCCAAACCCAGAATCACAAATATCATTACCACTTTTACCTTAATAGAGCTACCATAAATCATCAAAATGACTTCTATATCAAGATAAATAGACATTATCACTATTACAAACTAACTTGTAACTATTCCCTCCTGCCTTTGGCTCCTTCCCCAAATTGAAATTTTAACTTTCTATTCTACAATAGCTGTCTTCATTGTCATTATTATAATACATAATAAATACAGCAACTACGAAGATGCCATTTGAAGAACAGTAATTTGGACCATGTCTAATGGAATAATTATCTCTATTTTTACTGAATAAACACTTAGGATTTCTAACTATTGGAACTGTTTTGTTTTATAAAGAACCAAACATTTAAGCTATAAAAATCTGATCACTGTTCTGTAGTTCAAAATAATGTAATTTCATATGGAAAACGGAACCAATTTGTTTACATAAAAAGTCTTTAAGAGATTTTTATATGAAGCCAGCTGGGGCCAGCTGGTGCCAGGGTGGTTAAGGTGGCTGGATCTCACATGGCCAACAGTGTGGTTTGAGTCCTGGGCCCAGTGACTTGAAAAACACACTAGGCATATGTGTGTGTATACATGCCCAGAATCCCAAAAAAGAGAGATAAATGGAGTTAAAAAAATAAACCAGGCCATTTATAGAGTAGAGTTTTAACAGAGCAAATTTTAACATGATTTAAATCGAGCAGTTGTCTCCAGATTTTTGGACAACTCTGGCTAGCCTCGTGGTCGACTCAGTATTTCAGTCAGCTGAATGGGAAAGTGATGTGTGCAATAAAAGGGAAAGAGTAGTACTAAAAACTGTAAGTGAGGGAGTGAGGTAGAGAAATCATTGGTTACATTTGGAAGTTTTTCTATATTAACACAGTTTTAAAGGTGGGATGTCTGTGATTGACTGAAGCCTAGCTGTTGTGATTGGCTGTAACTGAGCAGGAAAAAAACCAAAAGAGGTCATAGTTTGTTTATAAAAACCAAGTGTCCTCTTTAACTATGGAAAAGAAGGATTATTTTATACATTTAATCACTATATATCACTATTGCATAACAAATGAATTTTTCTATTATGAATTTTGGTCCTGTTAAAGACATTACTATAAACATTATAATCAACAAATTTCTTTTCATTCTGGGTTCCTTGAATGTTTTGCTTCTTTCTTCTTACCCTTGATTCCTTCTCTCACCTTCACCCATTTCCCACCCTCCTCCCCCATTGTTTCCACTGTCATCATTGGTCTCCATGCTTTTATACCTCCCATTCTTTCCTTTTCTGCCGTAGAGTGCTGACATTTGGTATATATTGAGTGGAGAAGTACAATGCCTCTCTTTTGTTGTCGGCTTTGCTTTCCTTAGCAGTAAATCGTCCATATTTGTCCACTTTCTAGCAAATGACAGTATCTAATTGTTTTTTATGGTTGAGTAGTATTCTGTAGTGTATTTGTTTCACTTCTTTCCTTTTAAAACTCCGCTCTGCAGCTGAATCCTATAGAATGCCTTCCCTATTTCACCAATGAGGTTAGGTAGTTTGTTACCCTTTGAGTGCCCATAAAGACTAAGCGCCCCTATCAAAGCATATATTACTGGAATCTCTTGCTTAAATGTAGTCTTTAAATGATTATCTTTAGAATGAAGTGTCAACTAAGTCAACTCTGGTGAAAGGTATTATTATGCAATGAAGTGCTAAACAAAATAAATGCAAAATGCCAGTTGTCATGTTAAAACTGAGGTCTTTATTTGTTCAGCTATTAAAAAAATAAACTATAGAAGGTGAACAAATAAAGATCTCTATTTTAACATGACAGAAGGTAATCAAGTAATAATGACAGGATTATAGATGTATTATCAGTTCACTAGTCTCACCTTACCAGTCCCAGCTTAGAGGAAAATGCAGGCCTTAAGCAGAAATTTCTAGTTCAAAGAAAATGTTGGATTTTTGAAATAAATAAGTAAACACTAATATAACTCACCTAGGACAATTTCATACACACAGGTTGAACTTTCCAAGCCAGTCAAGTTCCAATTAGGATAAGAATCTCGTTTCTCCATTTTACTACTTCATTTTTTTTAATTTAATTTTATTTTTTTATTATCATCATCATAATCTTCTTTATATTACATTACTACTTCATTTTTCATGAGTAACATCTTAACTCATTTTGGTAATTACCTTTTTTCCCTTTCAGCTTGCACTTACCTATAACTTCTCAAAGTTATGGTAACTTATGACAGCTTATGACAGTGGACATTTAAAACAAAACGGAAAGGATAAGAATCATGAAAGGTGGCCTTAGGTGTCAGTGAGTCTACTTTGTCACAACTCTGCAAATTTGTTAAATGAGAAAATGGAGGTAGATAATTTCTCTGGTTTCTTAAAAATGTTCAATTAAAAAAGAAAAAAAAGTTGAGTCCTTGTACAAGATAGGCTGGAAGCTAGATGAACTGGAAGTTTGCTTTCTTTGTTGTCAATAGCAGGTAATAGACATCTATTCCCAAGAAAGTTTGGAAGCTAATGAAAGGTGAACCTAGGAGATTGTGGGAGGATTAATATATCTTGGAAAGTGTTTTGGCTGTTGTCAGTAGAGTTTCTAATAACTATACCAAGGAGTTTGGACTTTTGTCAAAACAAATGGTCTTCCTATTCCTTTTTGAAGAATTTAATACATTAACAGTAACACAATAGTATGTTGATGGAAGCCATTTTATACAGTTCTCGTAGTTTTTTTTTTTTTTTTCCTAGGCAGGCTCATAATAAAGGAGTTATTTCTCACTCTGTAAACAATTCTACAGCCTATTTATGAGTACCAGAATCCCAACTGGGCAGGGAGAATCTGCGAAATAGCTGGCAGAGAGGTTGTTTATGTATATATGTTTTATATTTTTATTTTTTTGAAAAGCAGACACTAAGCAAAAATTTTGTTCAACTTGCCATCATTACTATAAACTTAAACAACAAATGAGATAGGCTATATTTTTATGAGTTGGATTCACAGAAATTGAAGACTGATAGCCTTCAGTTCTTTTTTTTTTTTTTAAGAGTTTTTTGCTATAGGGTACGTGCACTCGCCAGACAGACAGAGAGAGACATAGAGACAGAAAGCGAGAAATCACCCCTGAGGGGGGATGGTCACGCCGCAATCCCTTCTCCTCCATTCTCCTCTCGGGATCTTGGGCACGCACGCACATGCACCTGGCGTGAGTTCTAAGCCACCAGGTCCAGGACGCGAACCGCAGTCGACCACGTGGGCGTCCAGCGACATAGCCATTACGCTAACTGTTGGTTCCCAGCCTTCAGTTCTAACAAGGGTACAAAGGACTGGTATCTTTGTACAATGTTGATGACACTGAGAAAGTCACCTGGCTCTACCTGTGGGAACTTAAAACTCACATGCTCTTGGGGAACCTAGCATACACAAAGAAAAGCATGGTATAAAATGATATTTAAGTAGCATTGTCTGTATAGGGACAAAAGAAAAAGCAGCGTCAGTGTTAACAGAGGAATGGCTGAATGCGTGAGAGTATATCCATGCTATGTAATGTGATGCATGAGTAGAAAGGAATTGCATGTTGAAAGGAATTGCTCTGTATATAGAATTAACCCATTTTAAAAAATCACTGTAACAGGGGCCGGCAGGTGGCATAGTGGCTAAGGCACTGGACTCCCACATGGTCGACCGGGGTTTGAGCCCTGGACCTGGGGCCTTCAAAATCACACTGGGCAGAAATGTGTACATGCCTAGGACCCAAAGGGAGAATGAAAAGGGATTGTGACATGGCCATCCATCCCCCTTCCCCAGTGGGGGGTGCCCTCTGTCTCTCTTCAGTGAGCATACAAACTTTATGGCAAAAACAAAAACAAAACAGAAAAATCCACATAGTAACTTACACACATGTATTTATGTAAGATTTGGAAGGTACATCGCACCTGCTATTCTTTAGGTGAATGAGATTGAAAGGGAGAAGGAAATTAATCTTTAAAGATATTTTTGTATTTGTTTTGAGTACCCTGTTTAATTTTCCCAATAAATGAACATGAGAAAGGATTTAAAATATAAATACAAATTAAAGTTCTTCTTTTTCTTTTTCTTTTTTTTTTTTTGAGAGGTTTTTGCTATAGGGTGCGTGCGCTCACCAGACAGACAGAGAGAGACAGAGAGACAGAAAATGAGAAATCACCCCCCAGGGGGGGATGGTCACGCCGCAATCCCTTCCCCTCTATTCCCCTCTCAGGACCTTGGGCACACACGCACACGCGCCCAGCGTGAGTTTAAGCCACTGGGTCCAGGACTTGAACCGCAGCTGACTACGTGGGAGTCTGGCGACATTGCCATTACGCTAACTGCTAGTCCCAAAGTTCTTATTTTTCAAAGTAAAAAGTTTGAAAATATTCTAGTCAAAGTTGATAAATGAAACAATAGCAAAAATAAATCGCTTAGAATTATGGCAGCAAACACCAAAAGAAACATAAAATGGGGATTAGGGATGAGGTGGTAGACTTTTACTTTAAGATAAAACTAGTTAGCAGCTTCTCTATGATGACTTGGCTTATAGGCAATCTGTCCTACGGAAGCAAAGGTTTTAAATACACTCACCACCTCAGTAACTCTACTAATAAAATAAAAGTCAGGTACATAGAATAAGAGCCAAGTATATAAACACATAGGTAACAATTGTATGCATTAGTTGGGTATGAGTGTTTATTTTTAGAAGTTGTACCACACTGACCAATAAGGACCAGCATACAAATGACAATGGTTTCTCTCT